TACATTCCTTATCTCTCTTCATCCCTTACATTATTGCATTCCTTATATCTTTACATTCTCCGCATCTCTACATCCTTTACATCTCTGTATCCCTTACATCACTGCATGCCTAATATTCCTGCATTCTTTTCATCCCTACATTCCTAACATCACTTCATCCCTTACATCCCTATATTCCTTACATCTCAACATTCCTTACATCTCTACATTCTTTTCATCCCTACATCTCTGCATCCCTTACATCACTGCATGGCTAATATCCCTGTATTCTTTTCATCCCTACATTCCTTACATCACTTCAGCCCTTACATCCCTGCATTCCTTACATCTCTACATTCCCTACATCTCTACATCCGTTTCATCTCTGCATCCCGTACATCACTGCATGCCTAATATGCCTGCATTCTTTCCATCCCTACATTATTTTTATTGCCACATCCATTCCATACCTACATTATTTTTATTGCCACATTCATTTCATCCCTACATTATTTTCATACCTACATTCCGTACCTCTCTTCATCCCTTACATTATTGCATTCCTTATATCTCTACATTCCCTGCATCTCCACATCCTTTACATCTTTGTATCCCTTACATCACTGCATGCCTAATATTCCAGCATTCTTTTCATACCTACATTCCTAACATCACTTCATCCCTTACATCCCTGTATTCCTTACATCTCAACATTCCCTACATCTCTACATTCTTTTCATCCCTCCATTCCTTACATCCCTGCATTCCTTATATCACTACATACCCTACATCTCTACATCCCTTACATCTGTGTATCCCTTACATCACTGCATGGCTAATATCCGTGTATTCTTTTCATCCCTACATTCCTTACATCACTTCAGCCCTTATATCCATGCATTCCTTACATCTCTACATCCGTTTCATCTCTGTATCCCGTACATCACTGCATGCCTAATATGCCTGCATTCTTTTCATCCCTACATTCCTAACATCACGTCATCACATTGATCCCTGCAGTCCATACATCTCTACATTCCCTACATCTCTACATTCTTTTCATTCCTACATTCCTTACATCTCCTGAACCTTACATCCCGGCATTCCTTACATTTATTTATTTCTTACAATTATTCATTTAATGTGCTTAATTTCATTAGCGAGCTGTTCATTTAAACATAAAATATATAAGAAAATAATTTTACAAGAATAATATAATATTTAAATAAAATAGCCAGCCTTGGAGGCAGTAAAATCGAACATCATGGACGATTGAGGATCGCTGTTAACCGTTCGATCTACAACAACGTCAGTCATCTCCAGACCGCCAAGCAGTGCGCATGTAGCTGCTGAACATACATTTACATCTGGGTTATTTTCTGTGCTTATATAATTTAATTGTTTTTGATATTTTTAATAAATTCACAAGAGTAATAAAATTTATAATTTCATACCTTTTACGCCTGCGCTAACCATCTAATTTATTTAGTATTTCTTTCTGTTCTATAAGCTTCTTAGAAATCAAACTTGTCTTTATAATCCTGCATCCCTTACATTTTTGTGTTCTTTACATTCCTGTGACTCTTACATTTCTCCATCCCTCACATCTATTCGTGCCTTACATCGATGCATTTCTTCAACCCTTCATTCTTTACAACTTTGTTACTCTCATATCCATGAAATCGCATAGACATCTGTTTCCCTTACACCCCTGCATGTCTTACATGTCTGCATCCTTTACCTCTCTGCATCCCTTACATCCCTGCATATCTTACATTCCTGCAACCTTTACACCCCTGCATGTCTTACCTACCTGCATCCCTTACATCACTGAATTCTTTTCATTCCTACATTCTTTTCATACCTACATTCGTTTCATTCCTACATTCGTGTCATCCCTACAATTTTTTCATCCCTGCATTCCTTATATCACTACATTCCCTACATCTCTACATCCCTTACATCTGTGTATCCCTTACATCATTGCTTGCTTAATATCCCTACATTCCTTTCAGCTCTTCATCGCTTATATCCCTGCATTCCTTACATCTCTACAACCCCTACATTTCAGTATCCTTTATATCACAGCATGCCTAATATCCCTGCATTCTTCCCATCCCTACATTCTTTTCATCCGTACATTCCTTTCATCCCTGCATTCTTTCCATCCCTACATTCGTTTCGTCCCTACATTCGTTTGATCCCTACATTCGTTTCATACCTACATTCCCTTCATCCCTACATTCCTTTCATCCCTACATTCGTTTCATCCCTACATCTGTTTCATCCCTAGATTCGTTTCATACCTACATTCCTTTCATCCCTACATTCGTTTCATCCCTACATTTGTTTCATCACTATATTCGTTTCATCCCTTCATTTCTTTCATCCCTACATTTGTTTCATCCCTACATTCGTTTCATCCCTTCATTCCTTTCATCCCTACATTCGTTTCATCCCATCATTCCTTTCATCACTACATTCGTTTCATCCCATCATTCCTTTCATCACTATATTCGTTTCATCCCTTCATTCCTTTCATCACTATATTCGTTTCATCCCTTCATCCCTTTCATTTCTACATTCGTTTCATACCTACATTCCCTCCATCCCTACATTCGTTTCATCCCTACATTCGTTTCATCCCTCCATTCCTTTCATCACTATATTCGTTTCATCCCTTTCATTCCTACAGTCGTTTCACCCCTACATTCCCTACATCTCTACATTCCTTATATCTCGGTATCCCTTACATCTTTGCATAATCCACACATTTCCAACATTTTTATGTATAATCGTGCAAAATTTAGTTCCTCTTTTCGCCGCCAGAGGGCGCTGATCGGACCTCGAAATTTTAGTTCGAATTTTTGCCGCTAGGGGGCGCTCTATTTTTGAGATTTTTCGCGAAAATCTCGAAAAAACAGCGCCCCCTAGCGGCCAAATTTGGAACTAAAATTTTCGAAATTTTTTTAGTTCGAATTTCTGCCACTAGGGGGCGCTCTTTTTTGCAAGGTTTTCGCGAAAATCTCGAAAAAACAGCGCCCCCTAGCGGCAAAAATTCGAACTAAAAAAATTTCGAAAATTTTAGTTCCAAATTTGGCCGCTAGGGGGCGCTGTTTTTCGAGATTTTCGCGAAAAATCTCAAAAATAGAGCGCCCCCTAGCGGCAAAAATTCGAACTAAAATTTCGAGGTCCGATCAGTGCCCTCTGGCGGCGAAAAGATGAACTAAATTTTGCAAAATTTCTAAAACTAACTTACCTTTACTTACCTTTACTCGAAGCAGTCGTTATAATATAATTATTATAGGGTTTGCAGGGTTACAAGGGTTGTAGGAATATAAGGGATGTAGGAATGAAACGAATGTAGGGATGAAAAGAATGTAGGGATGAAACGAATGAAAGGAATGAAGGAGTGAAACGAATGTAGGGATGAAACGAATGTAGAGACGAAACGAATGTGGGGATGAAACGAATGTAGGGATGAAACGAATGTAGTGATGAAAAGAATGTAGGGATGAAAAGAATGTAGGGATGAAAAGCATGTAGGGATGAAGAGAATGTAGGGATTAAAATAATACAGGAATATTAGGCTTGCAATGGTGTAAGAGATGCAGATATGTGAGTGATGCAGGAATATAAGGGTTACTGGAATGAATGGAATGCAGGTATGAAAAGAAGCAAGTCCGAAGCGGGGCCGCAGGGGACCAGGGCTGGGGCCCCGGTCTCCCCTGCCCGCGGCCCGAAGATTGCCAGCATCGGGTGTGGCCCCCGATGTCGGCGGAGGTTGGTACATAGGAGAGGGTCAAAGGTCAGGCCCTGCAGGCCACCGTGGTGGTTTTAGTGGGTAAAAATCCCACACTACCTCCTGCCCCTCCCCAGAGGGGCTGGAGGTGTCTTTCTGAAGATTTCCACCACGTAAAAAAAAAAAAAAAAAAAAAAAACCCGGACGTAAGGATTGCAGAAATGTAAAGGATGCAGGCATGTAGAGGATACTGCTACGTACGAAATGCAGGGATGTAAGTGATCCAGAAATATAAAGGGCGCAGAGATGTAACGGATTAAAAAATGTAAACGATCCCGGAGAATAAGGAATGCTGGGATATACAAGATGCAGGAATATAGGATATGCAGGTATGTACGGGATGCAAGAATGTAGAGGATGCAGATATGTAAGGGATGCAGAGATATAGGGTTGGGCCTCGTGAGGCCCTCAAGTGCAAAATAAAATAATAAATAACTGGAAAGGGTAGGCTTATACCCATGAAAAGGGATAAAACAATAAATATTTTTGCCTCTTATGGGCTTAGAAAACTCATAAAGTAAATTAAATAAATTTGATAGGTAGATCTGCACTCCTTGGCTGTTGCAGTAAGACTGACTTCGCTCAAAGTACAGTTGACTGTGGTGCCCGATTAGACGTGACGTTCCGCTTCTCAGCCGATGCAGCCAGCTACGTTTTCTCGAATTTTGTACTATTTTATTAAAATTTATTTAATTGAAACATTGTATTTTATAACTGTGGCATGAATAAATTATTGTCGCAGCTGTTAAATTTTGTTATTGTTATTACCTTTACACGTGAATATATTGCATAATTTTATTTAATTATTATTATTACGATTTATTGAATTATATCTGTCAATTACAGTAATGTATTATTGTAGTAAATTATTACATCTATTAAAATTCAGTATTTTTATATCTTTTATGCATAAACCTTCTGCAAATTTGTATTAATAGTTTATCTTTTATACGATATTAAAAGGCAATCAGTAATTTTTAGTTTAGGTTTGATTTGTATGTATTTTATGATTATAATTTATTGAAGATCAAGTACTTGTTAAATGCTATATGAATAAATAACTGAGAAAAAAAGTCAGGTAAACTATCTAAATAACCTGGAAAGGAAATTTAGAAAATTAGATAATAACTCACTTCCTTTTGTGAAAATGATTTATTTACTAAGGTGCATAAGATGAATATAAGTTTTTAAACAATTATTTGAACAATATTTGTGCTGATTTTGAATGATTTCTAAAAAAAATAGGAATAAAAATCAAAAGAAATCAAAATTGTGTCTTCATTTGTGAATGCGATGCGTGGTACATCCGTCTGTGCTGCTTACATGCAGACTTGCTTCATCTGAAGGTGTTTTGCCCCCTTAAAACCATAACTCCTCGAGAACAAAGTCATGTCTATTCTTTCTGGATCTGTAGTCGCTGTTTGCGTTAAAGGGATGTTCCTTTTCCTGTGTCTCGTCTTCTACCTTGAGGGTGAAATTAGGGATGAGAAAAATTAGTACCAGTTTTTGGAATCGAAGTATCGACTGTTTATATAGAAATATAACAACTACGATACGGTGGACTTGGAAGAGAAGTTGAGAGATGGACAAACAGGAGGAATGGTGATCGGAAAAGAGACTTAAAAGAAATGATAAACAGAATGAAAAGATACTTTGAAAGAAGAGAGTTAATACTAAACGCTGGAAAGTCGAAGATTATAATTTTCAATAAAGGAAGAAGTCAGAAGAAAAAGGAGAAATGGAAATGGAGAGAAAAAGAATTAGAAGAAGCAAAAGATTTCAAATACCTAGGGTATCACTTCCAGAAAAATGGAGGAACGGAGATGCACTGGAGAGAAACAGGGAAAAAGACGATGATTGCGATGAAGCAAACATGGGGAATAGGAGAAAGAAAGATAAAGATCTATAGAAGTTTGGTGAAAAGCATCATGATATCAGAGAGACTTAAAAAATTACATACAAAGTAAATAAAATGGATATTAGGCTTGGACTTCAATGCACCAACATATATAGTAATGGATGAAACAAAGGAGGACAAAATAAGAATAGAAGCAGGCAGGAGAGCAGTGAGGTGCGAAGAAAAAACAAGGGATGGACTTTCGAAAAAGGGTCACCCCCGATTTGGATAAAATTTTTATCAAACCTTATACCTAATTAGAGAATAAAATCCCTAAGAGGATTTTTGGCGACAAGGCCCCGTTTGCTCCCCACCCCCCTTCAAAGTTTGGAAAGTTTTTATTGTATATTTCTAAAAATATTGATTTTAGAGGAAAATGTTTCAAATAAAAAATAAAGCACTTAAAGAGCTCTACGAAAAAGGTTATATACATTTTTCTCGTAAAGTTATTATTTTTACTGTTATAACTCAAACTAACTTTTCATAGGTATATGTATATCGTGATACTTTACATTTATAGTTGGATTAAATTTGGGTTAGTATATATATAGTCGGATAGCTTGGAGGATGAGGATTACATACAGACAATAGAACACTTGTTAGAAGAATACAGGGAAGTGAAAAGGGATAATGAATTAACAAGGCGGAATATTTTGCAGGATCAAAATATTTGCAGGGAAGAAAATGGATGAGGGAAATAATTCGAAGAAGGAAGGAAGGAAGGACAATATTGTATCATAATTTATAAAATATTGTAAAGGCAAGAAATAAAGTTATCTATCTATAACAATTATGAATTTATTTCGATGATTGCATGGTTCAGATATGGAAATGAAGAAAGAGGCAATAGATACTGGAAAAAGAAAGAGGACAACGTCTGTAGAATGTGTGGACTAGGATAGGAGACAATAGAACACTTGTTAGAAAAATGCAGAGGAATGAAAAGGGGTAATGAATTAACAAGGCGGAATATTTTGCAGGATCAAAATATTTGCAGGGAAGAAAATGGATGACGGAAATAATTCGAAGAAGGAAGGAAGGAAGGACAATATTGTATCATAATTTATAAAATATTGTAAAGGCAAGAAATAAAGTTATCTATCTATAACAATTATGAATTTATTTCGATGATTGCATGGTTCAGATATGGAAATGAAGAAAGAGGCAATAGATAATGGAAAAAGAAAGAGGACAACGTCTGTAGAATGTGTGGACTAGGAGAGAAGACAATAGAACACTTGTTAGAAGAATGCAGGGAAGTGGAAGGGGGTAATGAATTAACAAGGTGGAATATTTTGCAGGATTAAAATATTTGCAGGGGAGAAAATGGATAAGGGAAATAATTCAAAGAAGGAAAGAGATAGACCAGAGACAGAAGATCCGAAATTTACAGACAATATTGTATCATAATTTATAAAATATTGTAAAGGCAAGAAATAAAGTTATCTATCTATAATAACTATGAATTTATTTCGATAATGGTACCCATTAAATTACTCACCCTGTAGTAGAAACATTGCTGATCGTTGATCGTCACGTGTCCTGTAATCGATCTTCTATCAACGATTAATGTATCCAGCTCGTGTACGAAGTTGCCGTTCTGAAAAGAAGTGCCAAAGGGCGGAGAGAAAGAGAATTAACCCATGGGCAAAATGATTGATAGGATTAATAACGCTCGGCGGACAAACCCTTCGCCGGCCGATAAAACACCACCGAAGACGGAATACTTTAACCCCGGATTAATAGGCCTGTAAACGGCGCAATGATTTCCATTAATATTCATGGGCCACCGACGCGGAACGAGCGTATGATTTATGGTCTTTAATTTTCGCGCCTCGACACGCGCGTTCCCAATTTACTGCGAAACGCCTCGTTCGCTTTACGTAGATCCGTGAAAGATCGATAAAAATCGACTTGATTTCAACCGTACAAATCAACATGCCAAGTACGCAATGTTTGAAAAGAAAATAAAGGCTGATATACTGGTCGCTATTCTGAGGCGAGGGGAAACAGGCGACGACAGGGTGGGCTGCGTCGCGTCAACCCTTTTCCAGGTGCAGAAACAACCCATGACGTTAAACAAACATTTTTGAAAGACGCTGCTCGCAAAGCTACTTAAGAGGCGTCGTCGGCACCTTTGCGAAAGAGGACAAGATCCTTCCGCAAAGAAACCGCTACCCCTTTATAACAACCCTAGAAATACGATCTCCTGAAGTAGGAGATGGAAAAGTAGGTGAAAATTCGCGAAACATCTTAAAAGAAGCTTTTGTCTTACGTCTCAAATAATTCCCGTCATTTTTAATTCATGGGAAATAGGAGAAAGAAGATTAAAAACAACTTTGAAATAAGGATAAAGATCTATAGAAGTCTAGATAGATCTAGAGATCTATCGAGATCCAGAAAATCATAGAAATAACGGGTGAAAAGGGGTGACTCGAATTCCGCATTGCGCAGCCTCGGGCATTCTTTATCGCGTAACATTGTAAAGCGCGGATGACGGAGCGGGAAAACGGGGGGCGAATCGTGGTGGTAGAAAAGCGGGGGCGGTCGAGCAGGAGGGAGGATCGGGAATTCAAATAGCGCCGCCATTAAACTGAATAACGAGGAGTGCTGCCGTTCGAAATATGAACACGGCTATGATTTGCGGCCTCGTAAACCCGTTCATAACGAATAATAATGTCACCGTGCGCGACGCCGCGCGTCCCCTGCCCGAGGCTAGCGGGGGCGTGTTCTCTCGCTAGGAAATCCACCTACTACAATATCGCCAAGACTTTTTTCATGTCTCATAACGCGTACGAAGCTGAAATTAAATAATAAAACAAGAGAGGGGAGGCGGAAACGACGTTCGGGTCGTTAAATGGCACTTACGTTTCTTTTTAAAGAATTTCGCCGGATTTACCGTCAGGAAATTGTAAATTGTTGTCTTGGCTGAGAGTCCAAAGTAGAATGCGTCTTTTTAGAATTGGTACAAACGTAAAAGAGCTTCCTGAAACTAGTTCCTTCGACACAGAGCGCCTTTTTAAAGGTATTTGCACCTTGTTTGATAAATCAAACCGGCATGTACCAGGTGCAACTAACGCGCGACGATATCGTTACTGTTAGATGTGAAATCTAGCTGTTAATAATTTTAAGAAAATTCCAACACAGGTTTAAGAATAGCCGACGAAGCTCACGGTCAGTGTCATTTGTTGAATAGTCGAGCGGAGACGATGATGCGTTGCGAAGCAGGTTTGTCTGCTTCGCAAGGTAACGAGAAACACTTTAACCGGAAGATAAGCGGGGCAGGTGCGTCGCGACGAATTGAATAAATATGCGACGCACCCAGGAACGTTCCGGGGATCGGGTAGGACCCTTCTGTGTATCTGGTTCGATCGGAAAACACGTAGCAATCGAATCGATAACGCGACCGCTCTGAAAATACAACATCTTTATCGAACGATTCCGCTCGCAAATTGGCGATTTTAATACACGCCCGGTCTGAATAACGTATAGTAATTACTTGCCGGGCTGGCACGCTAATATGAACCTCCTTTATCAGTTAATTATGCCGACGTGTCTGAAAAAAGACACGAGAGATCTGTAATTTTTCAATGATCACACCGTATCGATAAAGGAGGCGTATCCGTTTTCTGGATGTTGAAAGAATTTTAAGTAAGACTGTAATAGGGGAGGTGATATATTTTCAGATCCTTAAAATTAATAAGTTTATTACAAATTAAATTTAAATAGCGATCAAAGTTAGATAGGATTAGGCAAACATAAAAAATCGTATGATTCTACCCTTCGAGGATAAGTAAGTCTGTAATAGAAGAGGTAATATATTATAAGATCATTGAAAATCAATAAATTTATCACAAATTAAATTTAAATAGCGTTCAAAGTTAGATAGAATTGGACAAACTTAAAAAACCGTATGATTGTACCCTTCGAAGTTAAATAGGCCTGTAATACAAGAGGTAATATATTTTCAGATCTTTAAAAATGGATAAGTTTATTACAAATTAAATTTAAATAGCGATCAAAGTCAGATAGGATTAGGCAAACATAAAAAATCGTATGATTCTACCCTTCGAAGATAAGTAAGTCTGTAATAGAAGAGGTAATATATTTTCAGATCTTTAAAAATTAATATGTTTATCACAAATTAAATTTAAATAGCGTTTAAAGTAGGATAGGATTAGGAAAACATAAAAAACCGTATCATTCTACCCTTCGAAGTTAAGTAAGTCTGTAATAGGGGAGGTAATATATTTTCAGATCATTAAAAATCAATAAATTTACCACAAATTAAATTTAAATAGCGTTCAAAGTTAGATAGAATTCGACAAACATAAAAAACCGTATGATTCTACTCATCGAAGCTAAGTAAGTCTGTAATAGGGGAGGTGATATATTTTCAGATCTATAAAAATTAATAAGTTTATCACAAATTAAATTTAAATAGCGTTTAAGGTAGGATAGGATTAGGAAAACATAAAAAACCGTATGATTTTACCCTTCGAAGTTAAGTAGGCCTGTAATAGAAGAGGTAATATAATTTCAGATCTTTAAAAATTAATAAGTTTATCACAAATTAAATTTAAATAGCGTTTAAAGTAGGATAGGATTAGAGAAACATAAAAAGTCGTATGATTTTACCCTTCGAAGTTAAGGAAAAAAAAAACGGATGTAATAAATGCAGAGATGTAAAGGGTGCAGGGATGTAGAGGATGCAGGTATGTAACAGATGCTGGGATGTAAGTGATACAGAAATATAAAGGGCGCAGAGATGTATGGGATTAAAAAATGTAAAGGATGCCGGAGTATAAGGAATGCTGAGATATACGAGATGCAGGAATATAGGGGATGCAGGTATGTAAGGGATGCAGGAATGTAGAGGATGCAAATATGTAAAGGATGCATAGATATAGGGGTGGACCTCGTGAGGCCCTGAACTGCAAAAAAAAAAAAAATAACTGGGAAGTGTGAGCCTATAACCATGAAGAGGGATAAAATAATAAATATTACATCTCTTATGCGTTTAGAAAACTAATAAAGTAAATTAAATAAATTTGATACGTAGATCCGCACTCCTCGGCGGTTGCACTAAGACTGACTTTGCTCAAAGTCGAACGTTGACTGTGATGCCCGATTAGCCGTTACGTTCCGCTTCACAGCCGATGCAGTCAGCTACGTTTACCCGAATTTTGTATTATTTTAATGAAATTTATTTAATTGTATTTTATAACTATATATTGAATAAATTATTGTCACAGCTAATGAATTTTGTTATTATTAATACCTTTACACGTGAATATCTTACATAATTTTATTTAATTATTATTATTACGATTTATTGAATTATAATCTGTCAATTACAGTAATGTATTATTATAGTTAATTATTACATGTATTAAAATTCTTTATTTTTATATCTTTTATGCACAAATCTTCTGCAAATTTGTATTAATTTACACGATATTAAGAGGCAATCAGTAAGTTTTAGTTTACGTTTGATTTTACTGTATTTTATGCTTATAATTTATTGAAGATCAAGTACTTATGCAAACTTAAAAAACCGTATGATTCTACCCTTCGAAGCTAAGTAAGTCTGTAATAGTGGAGGTGATATATTTTCAGATCTTTAAAAATGAATAAGTTTATCACAAATTAAATTTAAATAACGTTTAAAGTTAGATAGGATTAAACAAACATAAAAAACCGTATGATTCTACCCTTCGAAGGGGGTAGTTTCGCCGACCTAGGCTTCTCTAGGGAAAATTTCAATCTAGAGGAAAAATTACCAGTCACACATTACACCTAGACACTATACTCTAATTAACTGACAAAGGGGTTAGAAGAATGTACCCTGTACCTATTTTGAGACACCCTGTAATTACTTGGCCCCGTGGTACGTTCACGCGACAGGGTAAATAGAAACGCTTTATCACAGCAAGTAAATTCTTACTAGATTGAAGGGAAGTTAAGTGGCTGAAAGTTGGTAGCCGTGATAACGCGACGGTAACGAGCTGGTAGCAGTCTCTGTTTACCAAGTTATTCCGTTTATAGAATAGCGGCTACTGCAAACGTCTGGTGTACGGGAGCTGACCCATCGGGGCCCTCTCTATATACACCTAATAATGAAGATGTTGTTTTAATTGCCGGCTCGCGTGAGCATCCCGCTAATTAACGCACTCGCCACCGGTGACTGCTACGGTCCACTCCTCGTGACTCCCTTTCGTTCTCTCTTCTCTCTTTGTCGAGCTACGAGTTACACGGCTACTCCGAACGGCTACATCGACGACTCTGATTGGCGTATAGCGCTTGCATAATCACTCGAACCATTAACACTTAGCTGCTCGTGTAATTTATTTTCGTTTTTTCATTTTCTTCTATTTTCGTTTTGACTGATCTTTGCACATTTATCTTTTCCCCGTTTCTATCTGGCTTTAAATAAACACGTTGTTAATGCAGAAATGATAACAAAGTTAGATGGAAGAATACTAAAATTAGTAGTTAAATAGAGGATGCGTGAACGAAAAGAATGTTTAATTATAATTAATGATGCTTGTCAGGCGTTAAATAAGATCCTGGTAATTCGAGCGATAAGATAAAATATTT